CCGGTTCCACGGATGCGAGTGTTTAGTGCGAACGCACCCTTACGCTAGAAGCAGACAGGGGAAGGAAGCTAGGAAAATCGACGGAGGGTGATTCGAAAAGGGATGAAAAAATCGAAGCTGGAAAATGAGGGAGTGAACGGAACATTATCAGAAACTATGAAAAAGATAGGAAAAATAAAAAAAAATGAAAAAGATAAAAGGAAACTTAATAAAAAATTATAAAATTATAAAAAGGAGGAATAAAAATACGGAAAATTTTAAAAAAAGTCTTCAACGATAACGAAAGTGAAAATTGAAAATATGAATAAAAACATTGTCAGAAAATCTAGATATTATATTTGTATGTACATAATATAATATGTATAATAAATTGAAAAATAAAAATAAATAATAGAAGAAACGAAGAGATGAAGAAGAATTTAATAAAAATCATAAAATGAAAAAAGAAAGAATAAATACGCGAAAAATTTCGAAGAGAGTTTAAAAAAAAAAATGATAAAAAGAATACGAAGAAATGAAACGAACAGAAGCAAAAGAGAGCAAATAAAAATTACAACGATGGAAGTCAATGGACGAAATAATGAGAGAACAATAACGTAGGAATGTCCGTATGTGAGACAGTATTCAGTGGAGAGTGGCCGAAAACAAGAGAAAGAGCGCGTACGTGACGTAGAAGAGGGAATAAGGAAGAAAAGCCAGACGACAAAGAGAGAAATAGTAGACAGGGTGGCCAAAATGCAGCGAGGGTGAAGACACGCGAGGGCTGTTAGACCGTCAATCGATAAATTCCTCCGGCAAGGAAGAGGGGCTACGATACGTGCTGATGTCGCGAAAAGGTTCTTCCTTGCAAACACTTCAAGTGAATTTCACACTTCAGAAAGGTGAGAGAAAAAGATGGAAAGGGGTGGTCTCTCTTCTAGTTGCACTTTATGCAGTTTCGCGCCCCCTCGGAAAGGGCAGATCTCTATATTCTCTTTCTCTGTCTTGTTAAAAGGGAAGATCGTCCATCGATCCGTAATACGAATGAACACAGTGAACGTTCTCGTAGTGACAGAATGCCTTGCCTGTTGGCTAATTATCCCCTCGTTGGTCGTTTAACGCATCGATTCCTTCTTCCGGAAGAACGGAGAACGAACAAAACATTATAGTAATATCGGTCGAGTGTAATAGAATCGTTAGAGAGAATTTCACCCTATCTACTCTCGAATTCGATATCGTTTTCGATGATAAAAGAAACAGAACTAATGCGAGTAGAGAAGGAAATAGTGCACGATGAAGTTAACGATCTTCGTCGAATTTGAATTATCTAATTCTGCATCTTGAAGTTATAAAATATGATATGATACAAGAAAAACAGATGAAATTGATAATTTTATGATGTAAAATATTTTAGAAAGTAATTTTCAATAAATACATCTCAATAATATAAAAAAGAAAAAACATTTAATATCAAAAATTCAAAAATTAATAAAAAAAGCAGAAAATCTCGTGAGAATGTTTTTTTCTCTTTTCATATAATTTTTTAAATTTTCTCAAGCATAAATGTTCATCAAAATCTACCCAAGATTATATTACCTTTCATATTTTAAATATTCATTCCCCGTCTCAAATAATTGAAACAAGATCGGTAAAATCTTTATTACTTCGAAAACGTCGAATGGGTTTTATCAAATCCTTGATCATAAATTAAAAAGTAAGTTCCTCGTGGCGGGAATTCCGAGACGGGCCAATGGTGTGCTCAAGAGACATCAAAGAGAGACGAGGTTATCGCGGCCGGCCGATGACGTTAAAAGTTCTGGTTCGCGGGAGATTAAGTCGCCCGAGGCGATGTTTCTATCGGAGGGAAGCCCTTTCCGTGGTTCCCGGGGGCCGTGATTAAAATTATTGCCCTACCCAAAGTCAACACGCCGTACAAACAAAGGATAAACACATTCGCGGGCACCGATACACGAGAAGTGGCACGATTAGCATCGCAAAATATTTCTCGTCTGTTCCGTTGAGTGTCGCTGTTGTCGTTCATAGCGCGCGCGCGAGAAGCAAGCGTATTTTACATTGCTTTGCTTCTCTTTGTGATCTCTTAAAGCAATGGAGGAACAAAAGGTAAAAGAAGACGAGAAGAGAAAAGAGAAATGAGGCAGGAGAGCAGAAACTATAGAAAAAAAAGTAAAGAGCTTTGGTAGAAAGTTGCCGCAGGCGAGCTTTTTAGTTATGGACAAGTTGCACGACTGGTGATGAGCAAAAGAGGCAATTTGTTAGAAGAGAAAGCGCTTTCGTTGTGATACATTTAGGATTTGTCGTGAGCTTGATCCTAATGCTCTGTCCTTTTCTCGCTTGGTTTACCTTGTCTTCTCTCGTGGAGAGAGTGGTGGGGGAAGTGCTTCTTGCCTCTATCCTTTCCACTGTATCCCCTCTCTTTACCGTCACCCTACTATATTCTCTTTCTCTTTTGCCCCGAAGGTTTTTGCTCGTGAGCGACAATCGGTGTTAAAATGCGTGAATGCACTCCAAGCACGCACGCCTGCTTCTACATGAGCACGCGGCAGAGACCTCTCGAAAACAAACAGCGGTTTCTCGTCCCATAGCCAACGTGACTTAATTAATGAAAGCGCGCGAGAAGCGTCGACAAAGTCGTCTTTGTCGAGAAGTTCGCGGGACTGGGTCAATAAAGACGCGGGACCGCTGATCGATCATTTCGATTAGTCATACTCTTCATCAATCGATTCGCTTCAACCTATCGAGTTCGCGAAGGAATCTATTACGATTTGAAGTTTGATTGAGACCGGAGTTCACGATTAGAGAAGTTGACAGTGATTTGTCGGACGAGTCGATTACATTCCTAGTGAATTGATTCGCGAGTTATATGTGGAAGTTACTTGTTAGTAGTTACGAGCACGTGCATGAGTATTTAAATGACGTTTTTTAGGTCGAACTATGCTAACTCGGAAAGATGACTAAGTTATTTTTTGCTCTGGAATGAATTGAATGTGGGACTCACTGTTCTCATATATGGATATTACATACGTGGAACATAGATTTTTAAAAAGATACTTTTTAAAAAATATGAAAAATAAAAATAAATGAAAAATTATTAAAATTTAATTTCATTTGATAATACTATCTATAGTCACTTTCATCATATTAAGTCAATAAATTAATCAGAAAAGAATATAATTTATTAATATATTATTGTCTAAAAAATTAAATTTTTCGAATATTTAATAATTCTGGCAATTATTAAATATTTAAATGCAATTAATATAAACACAGAATAGAGTTCATAAAATTATTATTCTTTAAATAGAATAAAAACAAAAATACTATAATTCTGTCGCATCATCTTTACAAATTTATCACGTTCAAACTAAATTTATCATTGATTCTTGAAAATAAATGACTACCCAAATAAACCTGTTTATCTGTTCCCATAAATAGAAAGGAGCAGCATCCGATAAGTCGTGAAGAAACGTGATTACTTATGTGTCGTTTCCAGACGCACAACTTCCTAATTTCTCTTCAGTTTTATCTCATTGATTTAATATTATTATATAAAATTAAATTTTAATGCGTAAAATCATATAAACATATCTCTAATTGTAGAATTATGTGTTTCCTTGTTAAGAATGTTCACAACAAATTTTAATAAATGATAGTGCAATCAGTTGCATGTCCATGTTACATCTATACACATTGACAGAGTGATTCATGGTCACGGTGAAATCATGAATAATCACTGAACAATAACGTGGATAACACGCGCATACGGACATATTATTTTACTCTATAGATATTCAGAGCAAAACTGATTATGGTCGAGAAAATTACGATGCCCGCATTTATTTCCACACGGCAGTTGTATAATATGTATTGTAGAAAAATATCCGATTATTAAATCTTGTTCGATAAAGATAACCCGGAGAATACGAGAATTTCATTCAACGATGGCTATTGCAGTTTTCACAAAATATGTATCATGAATCTAATTGTCAGTTATTAGACACGAAACTGCTTACCTATTAGCGATTAATGGATAATATACAAACATAAAATAATTACAATGTTAAAATAAAAATAATAATAATAACATATATTGTTATTAAACAATGTAATATTGTTGCTTGTAATAAGGTTCGTTCACTTAATTAATGTGAAAACTATCGAACGGAACAGATTCCACGTATAACGGTACAAACGACGGCATCCACAAGTATCTCTGGCAAACTATCGGAATTAATTGGAAAAATGTAGCGATCAATTGAGCGTAGATAATTTAACGCAGGTACCGGTACATATAACGACTCATCTAATTTCATTTATGCTTAAAACACAGTTGTTCCTGACTAATAAAGATAACAAGGAAGAATTTCGAAAAATGAAATGAAAGGAAACAATCGGAATAGTAGTCAATACTGTATAAACACTTTATCATTGAAATCAAATGATCAGAATAGAAATTCTAAAAGAACGTGACACGTAACTTTCATTTCTCAATGAATTGACAGACAATGAAGTTATTTTTTCCATAATCTAATCAAGATAACGTGCACGAAAGCAAAACTATTATGTGAAACACTACGTAGAACACAAAAACGGGAAAAGAAGCGAGAAAAAGCAAAGTCTGCTATGGTGACACCCACCTTGCCAGTGGACCACTCCTCTTCGCTCGTTGACCCAAAATCTTCTCGACCACGGTGACATTTCCGTTTCTCGCTGCCTCCAGCAGCTCCTGATCCTTCCCCATGGTCCATTTACACTGTAATCAAAGTCTGGTGTTCACTTGCACACTTGTCAATTTCTGTTTTTACTATGATTACTCGCGTTTCATTGATCCAGCGTGGCCATCTTGGGCCGACTGCGTCGCCACCTTACGGTCACTTCGCAAAACACTCGCAACACACGCTAGCGCGACAGAGAAAGGAATATTCAGGCACACGATGATTGGTTGTTCAAGAGCGAGATAGAACGACAGTAGCCGAGACTCGAAGTATACCGTGCTCAGGCATGTAGCCGACTGTCAAGTACCAGCTGTTGCGCCGTACTGATTTTCCGTGGCTTCACGCCGACTCGGCTTTGCGGCAATTTAATCGAATAAGTGTGTCACGCGGTTCATAACTCCGATCGACATGAGCCGCAATTTTATCGGAGAGTTGCTGATCTTTCTGTTATTCTTCATTGGCAGTTTAAATACGAAAGTATTATCAAATATACTGTCTCTCGGTGGTAAGCACATAACCTCAATAGTGTATTCTGGCAATTTTTTTATATATTTTCTTAAGCCGGTTAAAAAAATTTCCGTTATTAAACGTAGTTAATTTCAAATGTAAAAACAATAAATTTTATAATTCGTTTAAAGATATAATAATATTAGATTGTTTTTCAATTATGTATTGATATAAATAATTAGTGTAATCTTTTGAATTGATATAAATGTGAGATTATTTATAATATAATATATCTATAAAAAGTAATATTATTTTCCTATTTATCGATTAAATGCAAAACTTAATGGATTATACAACGCTTTTTATTTAGAATTATATTTCTTCTTTATCTATTATCTATTGTATAAGATATTTAAATGATAATGTAAAACAATAGATAAATGTACATATAAATAATATAATTGTATAAATATAAAGTAAAATATTAATAAAAATACTTATTACTTCAAAAACATATATTTTCTATACACATTTTTATATTACATATTTATTTTCAAATGTAGCTATACATTTTATATATATTTATTATGTGATTACATATGTAAATATTCTAAATGTGTAATAATATTTATTGTGTACATATTTTCTGTGTAATATATTTACATCAGAAAATATTACTCACATTAAATGTAATGTATAAGTGAAAAATATTCATGTTCAAAAATATCCAACCGTTACATTATGAAAATATGAGAAAGAAATATTTATTTAAAAACTAAATTTATCAAAATAATTATAAATTTATTATAATTATAAATTTATATAATTATAAATTATTACATTTATTATTATTATATTTAAATTATATAATAATTGTATTTATAGATATATATATCTATCATATTTTTATCATTTTATTTTTAAATGTACAAGTTGAAACGTTACATCAAAAAAAGTATATGTGATGATCTTTTATACGTATAAATAATATTTAAATTACAGTGATCCTCTAATTTATTTTTCTCAACAATATCCTTTTAAATTATTTGAAATATGTAATATAATGAATCATTACATTAAAATTTTTTGTAAAATGTCAATATAATGTACGATACATTTTACAGATGGAAGTGTATTTGAAATGAAATTAACTAATCTTCATGACACTACACCATATATGAAACAAATATCTATTGCAGCAAGTAGCAAAGCAATCTTTAATGTAACAAACGTTTCCTCCAGCGGTTCATTTATTATTTTTCAAATTCATATTTATCAACATAATGTTACATTATCTTTTGACAAAGATTGTCTTAATAAAGTTTCAAATAGAAGCATATTTGGATCAAACATTGGTCTTTTCTCTAAGCTAGATACTAATATAATGACACAATTTTTCGTGAAAAATGATAATGTTCACGATGTTAAGGCTCTGCTCGTTGTTATTACTTACAATAATAAAGGTGAGTAGTATAGCTTATCTCGTAATAAACGATTTGATATGAATCATTATTTTATTTTATTATGTGTATTTTAAATCTCTAAAAATTAATCAATAATGTTCGTTGTTGTGCAATTCAATTTTTTATATATAAAATTAAAATAATTTTAATTTTTCATTTCATTCACAAATTATCAACGCTAAGCTAAATGTTATGATATGAATTGTTGATTCAGACTTGGTAATTTTTGTAAACTCTGCATTTTAAACAATATGAAACGATATACAGGGTGATCCATTATTGCAATAATGATAATTATATAAGATTAAAAAAACTTTATTTGAAAATAATTATATATTTTTACATTTTTTTTATCCCTATATATTTTTAAATTTTATTAAATATTTTAAGTTTTTATTTTCAAGAAATATTCGTCACCAATATTCAAGTCTTATTCAGCTATTATCGCATTCATTCTCGTTTATTCACAATTCGTATCGGTAACGCGCAGCACAAAGGAATTAAAAATGACTTTCAATGGCTCTACATTCCTTAGTTCTTGTATTTTTATAAAGAATACTTTCATAAATTAAGATACGTATTCAATAAAAATGATTATTGAATATTACTTATTATTATATTTTTTCTTATTATTATACTTAATACCTCGCATAAAAAAGAAAATTCACATTAATCACAAATTTCGGAATTTTTTCATATTTTCCAATTAATAATTAAAATTAATAAATTTCCACATATATTTATTCCTTAAAATTACAATATTCTATTATATCTATTCTCTATTATTATATCTATATCTAAAATTACCAAAACTATTCTTCAAACATTTCTACTTCTATTTTTTTCATCGACTTGTCCAAAAAAAAAAAAAAAAAAATTCAACACGCTAAATGTTTCAACATCGTCTATATCTTTCCAATTACAATCGCGGTCACTAAAGTGATAATCGGACCAATCTGTATATCGTTGATTTTTTTTTCTGTTTCACGTATACACGTGGTCACGAAGCGGGCTCGATAATAAATTTCCCATTGAAAAGAATGATCAATCCTATCCATGAGTTCATTGTTCTCTCCGCAGCACCCGTACCGGGTGGATGCAACATGGAGTTCAATACCGAGATCGCGCCGTACGCGAGAATGCAGACACGCGACGCGATGGTGATCGTCGACGTGCAACCAGCCTCGTTACCGTTCAACTCAATGCGCCGCACTTGCGAAAAGGAGCCGGTGGAGGTCAAGATGTATCAGATGTTCCTGCCCGAGCAGGACCTCAGTGCCGAAACTTATTTCACGGGTATCGTAAAAATGCTGACTGCGGAAGATATCAAGAAGAACGGAGTGAAGGTACTCGGTATCATCTAATTAGAATTTATTTATTTGATCGATTCGAAATTTATTTTATTATATATCGTATTTGAGAATAATTGATTTTTTAATTTAACCGTTTATTTATTTATTATTATAGTTAAAATAGTCTAAAGTTTTTTTAAAACGAGACTTTGAGAATATAAGAAGAATTATTTTTTGAAAATAATTTAAATTAATTTTCCAATTAATTTTTTTCCCATTTTCCAATTAATTTAGTAGGATAGGGATATTCGATTATTAAGGGATTGTTTGAATTGTTTTTTTTTTTTTTTGTATGTTTAAGAAAGATACTTTATTGAATTTAAAAGTAGGTTTAACAATTTTTTCTTATTTTTCATTTTTTAATTTCTTGATGAAAGAGAAGCTCACAGATTATGTGTGTTTTTTAAAAATATAGTCAACGATACGTTGATTGCATAAAAATTATACTCGCGATGAATCTGAATTTTTTGATAACGACAAAGCAAAAATCCATATTAAACTATCGATTCGATAATTCGATTGATTCGTTCGTTTGCAGTATATATTTTTTAGAACGAGATTTAGTTTCAAAACTAAGTTTATTCCACTGGACGAATCGTAAATAATACCCATTTTGAATATTAGATTGGAAGAAAATAATCGATCAATTAAAGGCAAAGAAAAATTTAAAATAATAAATTCATCAATCAAATCGATAAATTTTTCGATCGTTTCAAAACATTCATTTTAAAAATATTATTTATCGATCAATCTCATCTTCACATATATTATATATAATCTATCGAAAATATAAAATATTCTGAGATTTAAACATTTAAATAATTAATTTTTATTGTAAATTACTATTTTACAAATATCGTCCTATATAATGTGTACTCTCAAAACATAATGATTACTATTCTAATTATACTCACAAAATGTACTTTTGATTAATCATTAATTAATTGATGTATCGTTCGTTGTACGCCAAAAGTAAACACAAACATGATATTAAGTTATTATTATTGGCAACAATATTGTATACATAATTAATCAAACGTGCACCGTAATCGTATGATATATTCAAACATTTTCAGACATCGAATAAATATATATTTATAAATCAAAGCTTAATAATTCTAATACCGATAAAAAAATCTCTTCCATGTTAGGCAATGGCTTCCATTGTTTCCTCTCCGATGAGACGAATATTTAGCGCGTATATCGGAGTTGGCTCGGTTTACGTCGCAGTGGCTAGTTATGGGGATTATTCTGCGGCCTATATCCCGATATTTTCATACGGCTGTAATCCCACAATCGATCCTGTATCATGTGACATTTTATGTACGTGTTCCATTTCATCCATAACACAAGAAAAACATGATAAGTTCATTTTTTATTTTTTAATATCGATATCACTTGTTGAATTTAATATATGTCACACCGTATTGCTATGCATTTTACGATTAGAAATATCTTATTAGAGACAATTGTGATACACAGATTGTACATAAAATAATTATCATGTTTTTCTTTTATACATTTTATATACATACGAGAAAATCATCATTGATAGCATTCCAAAAAATTAATCGTTCTATCGTATCGTTATTTTCAGCCGGGGGTGTTTTGAAGTTTATTTCTGCCATTTGTTTCTTCGTGGGATTATTTTTTACATTCCTGGGTCATCATGTCTCTAGAGTTGAAAAAATGTTTCCTATATTTTTCATTGGATGCGTAATTGGATATGCTATAGAAGGTATGTATATAACGACAATATTTTTATTATTTTTCTCATACTCTTCTTGTCATAAAATTATATATATATATATATTTTTATAAGTGAAAAAATTTAATAAAATAATAAAAAAATAACAGCATATAATTTAAATACAATAACGATTGTCTATCTGGATATCTGTTGTACGTTTTATCTATAGAAAAACAAAAACAATAAAATTAAAGACAACTAAATACAATGAATATTATTATCATACCATTGTCCCGTTTGTTTCAGGAAACGTTATAACTGGCCTGGCGATAGGTTTGCTCTTCAACCTGTTGTCGTTAGTATGTCCGTACTCCACAGAGAATCGTAGCGGTGCATTGCTGGTCAATATGACTCTGGGCTTGTTCTTTGCGTGCGTTGCTTACTTACACTCCCCAGGTACGGAAGGGGCTTGGCATCTCTTGAAGGGCACGCACGAAATACCGATAGTAAACGTATCCGAAAAGCGATTCAATGCATGTCGCTTGAGGAAAGATCAGCAGGGGTTGTAGTAAATTATAGGAAAATAATGGAAGCCGGCTTAAAAGCGGACGAGAGGAGTGTAACGGGAAAAGAAAGGGGGATGAGACAGAAACGAGAGAGAGAGAGAGAGAGAGAGAGAGAGAGAGAGAGAGAGAGAGAGAGAGAGAGAGCTCACCGCCCCCGAAGTTAGTTCGAGTTTGGTGAAGGGATGAAGTACAGTCAGAGAGTCCCCCTGTAGCTTTTATCAATGTTGCCCGCTCATGTGGAAACTTCGTCTGCCGAATCCCCCACAGCCGCACAGCATTCGCGTTACCTCCTACCTTTCTCACCATAACCACCCTCCACCATCTCCGCACATACACGCATAAACACGCGCACAATAAAAATCATGGCTCGTACACACAGGGTAAACCAGGCCCCCTGCGCCAACTCTCACGAAGCGAGATCTAACCAGCTTGAAAGATTCGCATTTACCTAATTGTGTCCCCCGTATTTATTTAGCTCCGAGACCTATTTAGATTACACGGTCTATGCATGCGTAACTGCACAGAGTATCGGTCCCCGTCGACAGATGATCGAGTTGGCCATCCTCTCTCCCGCCCACCGTCTTTTGGCACAGTTTGATCACGTTCTCCGTGGTTTATGTAATCACGTACGTCTCGTGGAAATGAATTATAAACTTTCACGAATGGTATTAAGGAAACGTACGAAGGAAAGAATTGTTTCATGATGTTGAGATGTATTTTTTTTTTTTCTTTTATAAAGTTTTTTATATATTCGTTTATATATGTGTATATAAAAGTAACGATAGAGGAATTTCGTGAAAGATTTTTGCGAGAATACAATACAAATGCATTTATTATTTAATATTACTTATTTCAATTCTCTCTCTCTAATTTTGTTTCTTTCAGGTTCATTTATAATTCTGCAGAACAATATGGTGTTTTGGTTACTATTTTTGACATTGACTCTCAGTATAGCTCTTGTCACGACATTTAACTTTTATTCTCACATTACGTGTTCCATATTTTCATCCTTCATGATAATCCTGCCGATTGATTATTGGGTTGGTTCTTCTCTGAAATATATTATGATAAATATTGTAAGACGAGCAACTGTGGAGGATTTTAATCTAGCTATTGTTCGACCTCCAATTCAGACTAAGGGTATCATCTTTTTTATATACATCTACACGTTTTAAAACTGTATATCACTTAAGAATTGTTGTATTTTATATTGGATTTTTATTTTATTCAAATTTAATTATATTAATTATATAGGTGATATACACATAATCGTTAACAGATAACATGTTAATAATAAAATGTTTTGAAACAATATGAAATATATATGGTCTTTCAGATATATGGTTGATTGTATTCTGGACCTGTTTGGCGTTCTATCACTTTTATAAACATCGCCAAAATCGATTATTATTAAACCAGACAGAAACAATTACAGAAACAACACCATTGTGGAATCAATATTAACGAATCATGTTCCAAATGTAATTACTACAATTACGAATGATACAGTTCACAATTTTTCATATACAAGGATTGAATTTTAGGTATTCTATTTATATATATATATATTATATTCAAAAGAATATAAACAAATTTAATATACGTTTATGTTTTATGATTTTATATTTATAAAATAATATTTCAAAGGCTAAGTTGATCGAAACATTTTATAATGTAACGATAAGACATCAAAGATAATATTAAGAGATCTCATATCTATGATTTATATTGATAATATTTTTTAATTAATTTCAATTGTTATTTTTATAAATTTTATACCAAATATATTCAAATATGATATAATTATTTAAAAAAAATATTTTTACATATTATTCTTTCCATTTATCAATCACTGTAATTCATATATAAATATAAAAAATAAATTCTCCTATTACATACAATCATTTCTTAATATCAACCAAATTTTTGCTAGATTTTTTATTTCTTTTTATATTTTTCGAAATACACGTGATAAATATCTTTAATTAATAAATATGTAAACAAAATAAAAGCATAAATATTAATTTCTCATCTATTCAATTGTTTCGTCTTTCTTTACTAGCTTAAACCGTAAAGTGTTTATTATTCAAATATTTGAAAATGAAGCAAACAATGCAATTATTTCGCTTGTATCGGTTAAACGTTAAAACCAAGAGGCATCGAACGTTGAGCTCTCCATCCAAATCGGAAACAAAGAAACGGGAAAAATAGAATTACTTTGAAATATAAAATATTGTTTACAATGAAAAATAGTGTTTCGAAGTAATGATAGTAATTACTTTGTAGAACTTTTATTTCGCTTAAAAGAAAGTTTACATATAAATAATTTAATAATTTTCAATAGCATATACGTATAAATACGTACTCGGAATATAAAGGATCCAAAGGATAACGACGAAAGGTTTGAAGTGTTTATTGAACAAAAAAAAAAAAATGACGCCAGACGACTTGCGTTGTCATTAAAATGAAATAACATTTATTGAATCGAGACAGTGACACCTAACAGTGGTTTTCTATATCCTACTACTTACAATCTTAAAGGTAATCACAGCAACAATATTATCTCCATTATTCACAACACTTACGTAGATTACTGTCGCAATAATATATTATTCTCGTTAATAAATTTGTTAATACTCATACACTGTATTCGTTATCAGTATTTATTATTACAGATAATAAGAAAACTGCGTGACCACTTCCGCGTCACCGCCCTCGGATCTGTCGAAGATTCACAGGATCGTTCGCAATGTGAATCAAAGACATTCATCTTCATCTTCCAATAACATCACTGAAATGGAACTTGCCCCTATCTTTAAACATGCAATTTATCAAAACAACAAACAAAATAGAGATAAAATTTACGCGGCAACGAATCCAACGAATCAAATTCCATTTCGGTGTATTATAAATTGTTTCAACGATTTTCCATACAAATTCCATAGAAATCGTCGATTGTATTTTTGTTCTTGTATACAACGTATACATTTTTCACCAAGCATATTTTTTATCTTCGCGAGGAAGGATAAAGTCGGCCAAAAAAATAAAGTAGCTCGACGAAGCCATTTTTATAATACCCTTTTGGCGCCCTCTGTAATCTTACAGAAATTCCTTTTTCATTTCTATATTCATATCAAGGTACACGATATTCATTCAATTCTTTCAATGAAATAAAAAAAAAAAAAAAAAAATCGACCGATAAAAAATTCTTCACCAGACACGATTCAAATTCAAAATCGCGAATAAAATAAATTCAAAGAGAGAAATACATTTCGAAACATTCTGTTCGAAAATTCGAGAGGATTAAAAAGTGAAAAAAAAATCGAAGGTAACGATTCACGAACACCTTTGGTTCCCTTATACGTATATATATATATATATTTATATATATGAAATATTACATCGCGAACGCAGAAGTGGTCCGTGCGGATCCGAAAACGAAGTGTACGACGTCGAGAAAATCAAGGTCCTCGACCATGGGAGAATCGACAGAAATGGCGGCGCGCGCGCGTGCGATCTTTTTTGCCCCTAAATTCGGCCAATTATTCGGCCTGCGTTGCGTCCTCTTTGTTTTGCTCCATTTTTTAGTTTTATTTTTTCTTTTTCTTTTTTTTTTTTCTTCATCCAAAAATATAAATTTACTAATGTACATTACAATCCCCGTTCGCCGTGGAAAACGTTCAAACGAATTGCGGTACACCAGCAGCTTGCGCCGCGTGTCGACATCGTAGGAAACGTTGCGCGTCTTTCCTAACAGACGGAACACGATTTATTCTTACATTATTTATTTATTTATTTATTTATTTATTTATTTATTTTTTATTCTTCTCGTTCGTGCCTCGTCTACGCGACTCGACGCACAATATATCGTTAAATTACCCTATTGACTGTTAACAAATCGTTATTAGCTCGTCACCTACTGACAAGAGAGAGAGAGAGAGATAGAGAGAGAGAAAGAGAGAGACTTGACGCGTCTGACTGTTATTCGGCACAAAAGTTTTTTCTCGAGGGAGGAGAAGCTGTTTTGTTTTTTTTTTTTTTTTTATCAGAGATTCTAATTAAACGGATGCTTGTTGCGTAACACTCATATACACATGCTCGAGGAGTATATGCTTGGGCGAAGGGAACAAAATGTGGACCGGGGGAGTCTTGGAACGGCGATTCTTGCGTCCGATCATCGGTTTTAATATCACAAGGTCCTCGTAAAATGTCGTACGACACGATCGTATTTTACAATGTTGTAAACACACGTCGATTTATAAATATGCAATATGTTTATACAAGTGAATCTCTTGCACTTATCTTAATTTGTTTGAAATAAACGAAAGTTGAAAACTCGTTAAAACTTTCCGTTTTAATAATAATAATAATTATTATAACATGGATTGTAATAATGTATTTGATGAAAATTGTAGATAGGTCATATTTATAAAACGCATTTTGGCTTGAAATGTAACTTAATTTTAATTTAATCGGATTGAAGATTGCTAAATAATAAATTGTGCACGTATTTAAAATTAACGTCGTAATATTTAATTTCAGTTATCCTCGATGCTAAAGTAAAATTAAAAGTTTTATTATCCTTGGATATATATATATATATAGATCACATTAATCACGATGGTGTAACCCTTTATATTTCGTTCATTTTAACCAAATTAAAAACTTCCACGATATTCTGACAATCTGTAACATAGGCTTTCGAAAAAGTCGAAGTTTCAAGTTATTACCTATAATTCAATGTTGCCTCTCCTCGCATCAGGTACGAATCGAAAATAAAAATTCAAATCGACTACCAACAACGCGTTCAAATACGAATCGCACGCGAATAATTGTTGTAAAAACACGAAATAGCATTATTTATTAGTTATCTTTTGCTTGGCAATTTTTTGAATGATTCCACTTGGATCCACTGATATCACATCGAAAAGATAGAATAAAAAATTGGATAATTGATCAATTTGCATGTGTACTCATCATCCAGAGAAACTTCCCATAAATCTCACAAAACAAACGTATATACGCATTAATTTCAATTCTCTCGTTCTCTTTTCTTTTATATTCATCAAAACATAAAGAAAAACTGTGAATTCTATTTCACTAATATTGAAATTCAATTTCGATAATTCTTCACGACTACCTATAATTTAAATTTCAATTTTTGAACAACATTTATCCAAAGAAAATTCTGTATTCTCAAACCATACATAGAAATTAAATTTCGATTCTCTACAAAATGTCTATTTTACAGAATTCCAATTTTTGATTAAAGTTTATCCAAAAACAACTACTTCGAATTCCGATCACAACCGAGATGTGAATTGAATTTCGATAAACAGTGAGAGTTTATATTCCGAGTAAAATCATCAACCAATATAGATCGCATAAATTCTTCGATCTCCTCCTCAGTCATCCTCATACGCCACCCATGATTGATTCTTCACCTCGGCACAATTCTGGACAAAGACGAGAAGCAATCCTCGAAGACGTAATATGCCCTTTTTTCCAAATAAGCTGAGAGCTTATAATCGAGCATAAAGAGCAGGGAAAACAGGAGAGGGGGGGGAGAGTGAAACGCGTGTTTTACGGGATAGTTGGTCGGTCGTTTTATCGCGGTGAGCCGCGTGAAACGGATGTCGCGAGCGGAACCCCCTTCCTCCCCACCCTTCCCCCTCTCCACCCGTTCGCGTGTGTCGCGTGCACCGACGAAAATCTCTCTCGAGTGGTTTTCGCGGTCGCGCTTGCGCGTCCTTCCCGCTTTTTCCGTCCCTCCACTTTCGACCCGCTAATGCGATTAATTAGAAATTTTATATCGCGTAAAAAGCCTTGTCTCTGAGGTAGCGCATCGTGTGTGTGTATGTGTGTGTGTGTATATATATATCAAATTACCCTGTACCATAATTTTCCCACTTTTACGCGACACTTTTCCACGTGGCGCGCGTGCTTTTAGACGGACGGGGGATTGGTGTCTCTCCTTTCGGTGGTGGAGATGAAAATTTATTTTCGCTGGTGAAAGTTTCGATTTCGTGATTCGACCCGAGATTCTCATCGTTCCATTCGATCTGGAGAGAAAAATTCTCGCAACTAGTGGCGAATTAATTTTCAACTCGCGCGTCGAACTTTATTATTGTTCATTTGGATGAGGTTTTTTTTTTTATTTTTAGTTTGCACGTGAATTGTGGTTTTTTTTTTTTTTACGATGTGAGAAAAATTGAGAGAGCGAAGAACATTAGCTTTTGTTGCATTATGTTGTATTTTGGGATTGGAATGGGATTTGAGGAAAGAATGTGAAAAGATACTTATCTATGAACAGAAGAGGAGTTGCTTGTTTTAAAGAAAAAGACTATAAAAACAGTTTGTAAATCTTTGAGGTAGTATATAGATGTTTGAGATATGCTGACTCAAGAAGCGTATTTTCAACAGCTGTTGAGCTAGTGTGGATTATTTATCCAGAGAATGTATTTAATAAATCTTGGTAAACTTAAAATGGCAGAAATTTTGAACAACTTTCTACAAAATAACCGCTTTTGTCATCGATTCTTTTTAAAAATTTACAAAATATTGCACATCGCGTATTGGGCATAATAAATTTCTTAGTCGCATTAAAACACAAACTAATTACCCTCTACTTAAGCACCAAACAGTATTATCTCAGTATATTTAAATAATCTTTTCCTCGTCCCAACTAAGTTATTAAATTAAAATTTCTAACAAAGAAACTCAACCATTAATAATAATCCCTCTTCCTAAATTCAAACCCCGATTACATATAAAAATTACACAATTAAAAAAAAAAAAAAATTAAAACTTACGATTTATCTTAAGATTTCTTCCACATTACAAATCGCCAGATCGGTGAAACGAATCGATTTCGAGGCCCAATTTCGCGAAAAAAAAACCCTTAAAAAATTCGTTCCCGACTCCACAACCCCCTTAATAAAATCGCCATTATCTATCTTTTAATTCGCGATTTTTACTTATTAAAAATTACATTAACGTATTCTACCATGGCGATAAAACTGTTAATTCTTTCTACAATTCTTTTTCTCACCTCATATATATATATATATATTTATTTATTTTTTCTACAATTTTTCTATCCTATATATCGTAGAAAAATTGTAAAAATATATATATATATATATATATATATACATATACGAGGAATGAAGAAGGTTTTTACTTAAACAAAAATCATATACTTAAATGAAATCATAGAAACTGAAGAAAGAAGAAAGAGCACACTGTATACACTGTATGGATGGGTGGAACATGTGATCGTTATTATTCGTTGTCACGTGATAATCAAGATCGTCCGTTCCAAGACTTTCCAAGCATGCGAAGGATCCAAGCGTTCGAAGTGCGACGAAGAATAAGTATAATAATAATAATAATAATAATAATAATAATAATAATAATAATAATAATAATAATAAGATGACTGGGCGTAAAATTGCGCGTACAAACAATGAGGGAATAGAATAAATGTGTGGCGTGGCGGCATAGGCTCGGGTCGCGTGTTCGAAACGCCGATCGACCGTCCCTTCCTTCCTCTTCCCTCCACCTCCTCGTTTCCGATTCGAACTCGGAAATCGAGACGGCCGATCGTTCGTTTTCCGAATGGAGCAACATCGAATATACACTCGGCAAAACAGAGATCACTTTGCTTCCTGTAATTCGATTACGATTTCTTGCGAAAACGATTTCTCACGCGATCGAACGTGTTATCGAGACGAAACCGATTCGGTTCCCTAAACGTATATGTATATATATTTATATATATATATATATACAGCTGCTTGTCAAAGACTTCCTCTCTAATTTACACGTTTTACGGGCTAAGAAGAGTATAACAAATGCTATTTTACAAGTCGCCTTTATACAAGAAAGATCGACGAGGAAACGAGCGCTTTCGATCGCGAAACTGTATATATATATGGTGTAAAAGGAAGGCGTGAAGAAGAGAAAGGAGGGAGAGGACAGTTTCTTTTCTTTTCTTTTCTTTTTTTTCGCGACAACGAGTCGAAACTCGCCCCGTTTCTCGTCTCGATAAACGATATAAATCTACGATTTTTTCCCCCGCACCTCGAAACGTTCTCGCGCCCGCGTCTTTCTGCTTCTAATAAACGCGTTTCTATTCTTATTCCCGCGTTATATAAAGTATATAATATATATATATATATATATATACTGCAAAGAGAGACCCTCCCTTCCTCTCTCTCTCTCTTTCTCTTTCTCTCTCTCTCTCTGTTCGACTCGAGTCAAAGCCTTTCTCTTTTCCTTTCTTCTTCTCTTCTTCGTTTCACTCAACTACAGATTGGATTGTCTTAATCTAAAGAAATCGCGTCGAGTTTTTGGACCAAGGGGTTGAAACGTTCGTCAGGGTGAGAAATATACAGAGAACTGCTCTCGTTTGAATCGTTCGAGAATTCGTGTTGTCCTTGAAGCACGAGAGAGAGAGAGAGAGAGAGAGGAGGGAGGGTGAGGGTAAAAAGAGGTGAGTTGAGAAACACGTTTTTCTTGTCCGGCTAGCCGAAGGAGGAATCTAAAGCTAACGCTGTATCCTTGAACCTTTCGCAAAGTCTGCGAGAAAGAGGCGCTCGACTCTTAACGGGATTACCCGAGGACCTAGTTTGAGCGAATCCTGGCGGAAGTGCGTTCGAACGAGGCTCGTCGACGATCGACAACCGGCGATTAAATCGATTTAAATTTCTTTTCACGATTTTTTTAAACTTTAATTCAATAACATTTCATACTATTTATTTATAAATAATTAAGTTCTTTTTTTCGAAAATTTCGAGCGAGAATTTTGTCTCCGAACGCGATTAAACGAATAAAATTTTCTTTACTTGAAAATTAAAGACGCAAGTTGGAAGAATCGAAAAAAAAATATTCCTAGTTCTTAAGATTTTCAATCGATTTTCGTTCGAGGATGAAAAAGAAAAATTTTGAAAGTCCCTACAATTTTCTTTATTTGAAAATTAAAGACGCAAGTTGGAAATTGAAAAAAAAATATTCCTACCCATTACGGAAGATTTTCAATCGATTTTCGTCCGAGGATGAAAAAGGAAAAATTTTGAAAGTTACATCCCTACAAGATTCGATCGAAAAAACAGTGGAAACGAGATATATTTCAAAAAGAAAAAGAAGAAGAAGAAGAAGAAGAGAAAGAAGAAGAAGAAGAGAAAGAAGAAGAAGGAATTTTTTGGAAGCATATGTATCCACTTCCGTCGAATTTCTCGACTTGACTCGAGAAAGGAGGGAGAGATCGAAGCGGAGGAAACGTTGTCAGCCGGCGCCATATCTGCTCGCAAGCGTGATGGCCGGCGAAAAAAGCCACCCTCGAGGCAGCTATCAATCCTCTCGCGGCGCTCCCACCCTTACAAAGGCTTGGCCAGAGCCACCCCAAAGTCTCGCGAGAATATTTGCAGCGGATGCCCGCCTCCGTCCGTCTTCGGATCCCTCGAAAATTTCGCTGCTGTCATGCGTACAACAGCTCTACGCGTGGAAAATTCGATAAAAACCTTCTCTCGAGTCGTCGATCAGGAAATTTTTAACACGTCCATATATCGATATCGACGATAAAACAATTAAAATAAAATCCTCGAGTAATTTTGAATTTTCGCACAATTTTCAATTATCGAATAATAATAAAATATATAAACGATCATTTAAAAAAAAACTTTTCCATGCTTATTTTTGTGTCGATCGATATTGTTTTAGAAACGTTAAAAATTTGATATTAAAATTTGACGATTCGTTGAATCGAGTACAAGGAGTCGAGAATATTTTGTTTCGCGTTAATCCTCTGTAACGAAGTAAAATACGAAACGTTAAAAAAATATTGAAACGTTGAAAAAATATTTGTGAATAAGAAGCGCACGAAGATAATTTTTTTTTTTTTTATCTCATTGTACTATTTCAATTCGTCTATTAATAATATATATGAATTTTTATTTGTTTTTTATCTATCTAACAAACAGTGATCATTTTTTTATTACAAGCAGAGAAATTTTTATTTTTATTCTTTGTAAACGATCGAAAGTTATTATAGTTATTCAAAATTAAATTAATTTAAAAGACGTACAACTTTGATTCAAAACACAATTTATACCGACAATGTTTATATACGCGTATTATTCGTATCGACGTTCGTTCGCTATTGTATTGTATACATTTATGTATTATATCGCCGTATAAATATTTCCATCCATCAGTCGCGGTTGGATCGTCTAACGAGCATGTTCGACGCCGGTGCGTTGATTTGTACATTGTCGTCTCGAGTAGATGGACAATATTATACCCTGCGTGACCCGGGTCATGCGTATACGTCTACGACCATAAGGGATTAAACGGTGAATCGAATCGTCGCGCGATCACGTTCACGATCAGTGCGATTTTTTCAACGCTAGATGTCGTTGACAGCATTTGTCGTCTCAAGAGGAGGATTTCCGTTCTTGAATAAACGCAACGTACGTTCGAAGCCGAAGAAAAATAATCTAATCTCGTGAAAATGAAATCGTTCGTTGTTAAAGAAATAAAAAATAAAGAAGTTCGTTGTACGAAATTTGTGCAAGGAAAAGTAGTTTTGCGTGAAATTTTGTTAAAAAAAAAAAAAAAAACGATTTGACGAAGAGTAAAGAGATTCGTTGTACGAAATTTGTGCAAAGTGAATTAGTTTTGTGGGGGAGGGGAGAGGGAGGGGGGGCACGTTGTTAAAATATTCATCGAATGATTTGATGAAAAATAAAGAATATAATCACGGATTAACGAATCGCGAGGATTTGTTTAAGAGGATGGATAATCGCAAAGATTCGAACGAGGACGTGCACATTCTTGTTTCCCCTTGTTGACCGAAAATAGCTATCAACAGTGTCCGCTAGTTATCGAGATTTGGCAAGCCTCCAACGAGTAATTAATCGAATTAAAGCGTGGCACTCGTTAACCTTTATTCTCTTTTCAAACTCCTGTTGCGCCCTACCCTTAACAGGTTACACGATTCGTTCGAACTCTTTCGCTGTGATTTTTGATTTTATTAAATGGGTTTTTCCAAAATTTTATTAGTTCTTTGAGTAAAATAAAATAATTATTTACGGATTATATACGTTCGTACAAATTACGATCAAAATTGTTAAATTAGATTACTTTGTTCTCTCGGTCCCGATTTAAAAACTTGGAAAATTATCGTACATTTATCATTAAAAATACGCGAATTTATGAACATCTCGCGCCTAATTACAGCGAAAGAAGGAACGAATATACGACAATTATAAAAACGAAACAATTCGAATTTAATTATATTATAATCGAACTTTTCTTTCGAACTTTTTTTACCCAACCTAATTCTTCGAATTCCAACTTAACATCCCACAGATTTTTTCTTCAAAATCTTGAAATCCTAAATCCATTATCCAGAATTAATAATGCTACTTGAAATCATATTCCAAAATTACAATTTTAATTATCGAATTTACTCGCGATTCGACATCCGTGCCTTCAAATTTAAATTTAAATCTCCCGTATTAAGTTCGCATTCGAAATTGAACAAACCAAAAATTGAGATCAAAACCAGGAAAAAAAAAAAACTCGATACTCGATACTCGATGAAAAGCTACGCGTGAAATGAAAAAAAAAACCGAGATCAAAAATCTTAAAGACAAAGAAAGAAAGATAGAGAAAGAAAGAGAGAGAGAGAGAAACCGGTCCACCAGCCCAACTCGAGCGAGACATATATCCTCTTGGAGTCGTCACGTTGGCGGCATCGCAGTGATCGTGGTCGGCGATTCGTCGTACTTGGCCGCTACTTTTCGAGATTTGCGTACGACGCGCAAATGTGTTGCGTTGTTGACCATCTCTGGATGGTAGAAAGAAAGCGTCGAGAGGGATTGATGGAGAGTGTTTCACTCACTGGTGTCGGACGTGTGCACGGGAGTGGTGGCCGGCGTGTTCGTTGGTTGATGCTGGGCTGGCTGCGTCGGTATCCCGAGGGATGCGAGCAGCGGCCGGGACACTGCACCGGGGGTGGCTGTCGGTGGCGGCGGGCTCTCCTGGCCGACGAGCAGGCTCGCGGGCGGGAACCCGAAGAGCTGGGATCACTGGAGCCTCGGCCAATAGTTGCCTGTCAGGTCTGGAGTCTGAGACGGGATCTGGACAGGCACAGAGACGCCCGCCGATATCACGCCTGCAACGGATTCGAACGAACGTGCTTTTTTGTTTAAATTGCTCTTGGAGGGGAAAAAACGATACTGTTCGATTCGTTTTTTGAATCGGCGGAGAAAATAATTTCGGGTCGAGGGTTTCGAAGGTTCGAGGAAACATTAAAAAGAATTACGTTAGGGTGTAATTAATTTTTGGTGGAGGTGGAACACACTTTGAATTGATTCGCGACAATTGGATGAACTCGTAAACGATCATTTTCCATCCCAATGTAACAAAGTTTTCGAACAAAAAAAGTAATATAATAAACGATCCATCCATCCCCGAAAAAGAGACGTCAAATAAAAAGAAAAACCCATCTGATCTTTATTCCGTAGATCCGGTAAAAACAGGCAATATTTCCAAGAGATCCAAGAGAACGAACGAACGAATTGGGCCGAAAGCGAGAGACAACGGGACATCGGTGATAAAGAGAAGGAGAGAAAGAGAGAGTGAGAGAGGAGGCAAAGTGAAAGTCCCCGCGCTCATGCACGTAAAACGATTATGATGGATAAGTTGCGGCTCGTTCCGCACGTAAGAAGCGAGAGGAAACGACAGGGGCGAGAAACGGCCGCGAAAAGGGGGGCTCTGGCTCTGCTCTCCCGCCCGGTTAAAGGGAGAGAAGAGGAGGGGGGAAAAAAGAAAGAAAAGAAAGAAAAGGACCGGAGAGAAAGAGGAAGGAGAAAGAGAAGAATGGAGGAGGGGAGAAGACAAGAGGAATGCCGGCGCGTGTACCGCAGTATTCCACCATTCTACGGCGTTCCACTTCATTCCTGTAGGTACGCCGCGCACCCCCGTATTTCCTCCCCTTTAGGTTCGCACGTTATTGAGCGCTCGCCCAGCCGAGGCGAGACCCAACCCATCCACATCCTCTGTTCGCCCCCTGTACACCCTGAAGAGAGGAAGAGCCACCCTCTCCTGGGGGGAGGGAGACGGTGCGAACCGGAGGGAAAGGGGATGAGACGTTGAGACAGAGAGAGAGGAAGAAGGTGTATAGGTCGAAGAGAAAGGAGAGAGAGAGAGAGAGAGAGGGAGGGAGGGAAAAGAGGGGGAGAAGAGGAGGGGTCGATCCTCCGCAGTTTTCGTTAAACGAGAAGAAGGGAGGGAGAGGAAGGGAGGGAGAGGGTGGTGGAAGAGGGAAAGTCGAAGAGGGAAGAAACGGAAGGAGTGTGGGTGAAGGGAAGGGAAAGTGAGAGAATCGGGGAAAATGGAAAATTCAGCAGCCACGGGTGCTGAAGGGGAGGGTGGGGTGGTGGAAAACCACCGAACATCCCGTTCTTCGATTCGGAGAGCCCGCTGGCGCCCGTGCGAGATTTGTTTTAAAATCCTTTTACAATTCCGTGGACGAACGAGCGCCACGTGGCGCTTTGTGTATCGTTTTCCTGTGCGTCTATATTCTTCTTTTTCTTCCTTTTCCTTTTCCTCTTTCTCTTTTCGACGTGTAAGGCGTAGAGAGAGAGGTTCGTTCTTTCCTTCTCTCGATCTCTCGGGGATTGTACGACCACCCCTGTTTCGACGGGGGTGGTGGGATCGAAAGAAGAGAGGTTCTTATTGTTGGATAATACTCGACGTTTTTTTATTTTCCTATCGACGCGTTAGGGTGTCGGGTGGAAGTGAAGATTGGTTGAGAAATTTGAAGGGAAAGCTTGGCCATCGATTTTCCACATACCCATTTTCTCCATGGGAATAAGAATGGGTATCTGTTTACTTTAGAATTTACACGCGTTCCACCATATCGGATACCTTCAAAAACCGATTTATCTTAAACTCGAAATATTCGAGATGAAAAAAAGAGAATATTTTCAAGTATTTTGAAATCTTCAAAAACTACACATATATTATGTAAATGAAAGATATCACGTTAAACGCGTAAATTTCGAACGAGCAATTATTAAGAAATAAAAAAAAAAGAACCGCGATTCATTTTCCGTTCGTTTCGAAAAAGTCCAAACTCAACAAATCCAGCCAAACAATTTTCAATCAAAGATACGAAAAGGAACGAAGATTCGATTTATATATTTAAGCGCGAGGATTTATTTACTTAGTTTCATTCCCCGCGTACGAACGACGCGTAACAACGTCGCCGATGAAACAACAAACTTCCGCCCATTAAACTTCATCGGCCTCGACTAAGTAGACCGTTCTCCTCTCGAAGAAGACGCCCCCTCCCCCCCCCCCCCCCCCCCGCTTATCCTTTTTCGTCGTTTGGAGAATTGTCGAGAGTTGTGGGAGTTTGAATGGCGAGAGAACGAGAGCACGTTTCACCGTGTTCCCGACAAACGACACGCGTCGAGTGCCGCAACCACGCGACGGGAATCGGAATTTTCCACCCCCACCCCGGCGATCCCGCGGAGCCAAGTCTCCGTCGATATCGAAAGAAAGCTTGGCTTGTTGCGACGACTCTTTGTCGGAAAATGGACGAAGGATAATCGTACTTGCGAAATATGAGGATTTTAGGGGGGACGGTCAGCAAATTTTAATCGATAAAGTATTTTAATCGTGTAATTTAAGTGTAGGAAGTATATAATGGATAAATTTATCGTGTGTTTAACGATATGACAAATATGGTGTATTTATGAATCAGACTTGTCAAGATTACACGCTAATTCGAATAATTTAACAGATTGAATAATTAAATATAAAATTAATTGCACTAAACAAACGTGGAAAAAGCACTCCTCCTGAATCATCCCCTTTTTATCGAAATAGTGGAATATTAAAAGGATCTAATCTAAAAAAAATTCCTTGTATAATATCAATTTTTATCGACGAGAATTATCTCTCTTCTTAGAGTAAAATCAACCCTCTTCCCCCCAAAACTTACTTACTGATACAATTTCGTCCTTTGAAAATATTCTTTACCAAAAAAAAAAAAAAAAAAATATTCCAAGTTCCCACGCCGGTCAAAGTACCGTTAAGAGAACTCGAACCACCTTTCCCAATCCACTCGATCCACTTTCACCTCCTGCCCTCATCATCGCCTCGAGAGAGATACAACCTAGAGAGAAAAAGGTTTTCGTCCAAGATACCTGGACGAGGAGGTGGCATCCTCACCTCCTTCTTGCGTTACACCCCGACCTTGATCAGTGTTAAACGCTTAAGCTTAAGGGGAGGGAGGAGAGGAGAGAAGAGGAGGAGAGGAGAGAAGAGGAGGAGAGGGGTAGACGGCCTTGAAGATTGAACAAGAACAACAAACAAACAATCCTTTAAAGCGGAAACTCACCAGTGGCGGTCGAGGTCGTTGGTTGGTAGGGCGCACCACCTGGTCCTGCAGGCTGTCCTCCTGGCGTGGTGGGGGTTCCACCATGAGAGGTCGGTATACCGCGATGGGGTTGCGAATGCGCAGCAGTGCTGTGTGCGTGGGAGTAAGACTGCGTCAGCGAGTGAAGGGGCTCGTGGAACACGTACGCCGGATATCCCTCGGCGCGCTGCTGAAGACAGCTTCCACCCATTGACCCGCCCAAGCTGCTCGACATCGAGCTGCCAACGTACCGAGTAAGGTGGAGACATTGGAGAAAATGCGTTAAAGTAGTTAACGAGTAACGATCTTTGCTTTCGAATTATCGGTGGCCAGAAAATTTGAAATTGTTCTTTTTCCAATCGAATCTTTCGATCGAAATCGAATCGAGCTTTTCTTAAAAATTCGAAATTAGTAGGTTTTAGTAAATTAGTAGTCGATGGTTTCGATAATTTTGGTTAAGTTGGTAACTCTTGGAGTAGGTGATAAGGATTCCAAATTTTTTTGTCGATAATTATTTTAAAAGGATCTAATTCGAATTTAAGTGGCTGGGTGTTGATAGTTTTGATTTTTGGAAATTCTTGGAGCAGGTGATAAAAATTCCAAATTTTTTTATCGATAATTATTTTAAAAAGATTTTCGATCGAATTCGAATTTAAGTGGCTGGGTGTTGATAGTTTTGATTTTTGGAAATTCTTGGAGCAGGTGATAAAGATTCCAAATTTTTTTGTCGATAATTATTTTGAAAGGATCTTAGATCGAATTCGAATTTAAATGATTGGGTGTTGATAATTTTGATTTTTGGAAATTCTTGGAGCAGGTGATAAGGATCCCAAATTTTTTTGTCGATAATTATTTTGAAAGGACTTTCGATCGAATTCGAAGTTAAGTAGCTGGGTGTTGATAGTTTTGATTTTTGGAAATTCTTGGAGCAGGTGATAAAGATTCCAAATTTTTTTGTCGATAATTATTTTGAAAGGATCTTTGATCGAATTTTCTTATTGATTAAAAATTTGGAATTATTTTTTATTTGAAATAGATTCCAAATTTTTCGAATAGACTATAATATTATTTTAAAAGAATTTTTGCTTTTCGATTTCGATTTATTATGGAATTTTTAAATGTCACGTTTGGTATATTAAGTTCTTTCAAAACTTGATTTTACAATGCAATATTGATAAAAAATATTTTTGAAATCCTAGGAAATTGCAAATTTAGGCTTGAAGAGCATAAATAATCCAGTTTGCCTGATCGTTGAATAATTATAAGTATCATAAATATTGAATATTAGAATTATTAGTTTTTTTCCTTTTTTCAATTATTTTATACGTGAAAATTTAAAGAAAATTAAATAGGCTTTAATATTTCTTTTAAAAGTGGCGACGATTTGATGAAATTGTGACTTTTAATTCGTAATAATTTCGTAATTTTTAAATTTTATTCGTTTTGCAAGACATTAATAAATTTTTCGAGATCTTCGTACGAAGGAAAAGTTTCAAAAGATACAATTTCTTAAATTTTGACACGAGGCCAATCATTTATTCAATACACAATACGAATTTCAATGAATCGTGAAATGTTAAATGTAAAAAAGAAAAAAAAAAAAAAAGGTACAAGGTATTTAAAAATTGTTTGGAAAATTTAAATTCGAACCTTTTGATATCTCCCTTATCCTGTAATCTCCGCAACAATGCAACCTCGGTTAAAGCGCAGCTCGATCGCCAAATCTTTTTAAACAATGGATCACGGTTACCATTGTACCATTGTCACTCCATTTTGACATATATAAACGCAAAACGCAAAAAAAAAAAAAANAAAAAAAAAAAAAACAATCCGTGAAAAATTTATTTTACCATTTTCACAAGACGAATCAAACTTCCTCCAATTCTCAAAAAATTAAATCACTATATAAAAAAAAATCACTATAAAAAAAAAAATCTTTCAAAATCAACTTATAACGCTTAACCACCTACGATTATTTCCCTTCCCCCGCCCACCCAATCTCGAAATTAAATTCTCCAAACCCGACTCTCCACCAAATCGCTTCCACTTGTTACTAATCCTTTCACCGCCCCGCAACAAATATCGTATTTCGAAACCTCCACATCGGTTCTTCAGAGAGAGAGAGAGAAAGAAAGAGAGAGCTTCTTCTTCCATTCAACCAATTCAGATCTCTCTCTCTCTCTCTTTCCCCCTTCTCTTTCCCTTTCCACCTCTTTCCACCACACACACATACACACACATACCACGCGGCGTGGTGGAAAGTGTGGGGAAGGAGAAGCAAAAGGAAAGAGGGAGAGGGGGGGAGAATGACAGAAATGATTATTACCTGTAAGTGTCGGGCATCGTAGCGATCGGCTGCGGTATCGACGAGTACATGGCGTTGAATCCGGCGTTTAAGGGTAACCGTGGCGTGGCGGGGGTCGCGGCAGGGGGCGCGGTGCTGCTTCCACCCCCGCTGCTGCCACCGCCGACTACCTGATCGACGGCTGCCCTCCTTTGGTTCCGTAATTTCTCCTCTCGACGCCACTTCGCCCTGCGATTACTGAACCACACCTGCAACCGACGCAATGACGGTGCTTTTGTCACGATAAGGGGCGTCGTCACTCTAACGCGATGGAAGCTCTCGCATTATATCCTCGCACTCTCGCGTATCTCTCCACTCCTCCGTCTTCTCTCATTCTTCGCTCGCGCACACTTGCTTCTTCTCTCTTATACCTACCCCTTCTTCCTTTCCTTTCCTTCTCTCTCTCTTTCTCACTCTCTCAGTTCAGCCACACACACGCCTTTTCACACTCCCTTCTCACGCTATTCCCTTTCTCGTTCGTTTCTGCTAGTGGGTTTGTTTCAGATATTTTTCATTTTTTTCCTGGATCTGTTCTAACAGGCATCCATTCTATTCAATAATCTCACACCCCTTTCTTGACGAGTTTTAGGTTAATTTTTTTCTTTTTCTACTCTGTGAAATTTGGATAGTTTCCTTTTTTTTTTTTTTTATTCTTGTTTTATCACATTCGTTCTCTCGTCTGTTAAACGCGTCTCTTTTTATCGACCTATTCCACTAGTACAGCAAAGTTTTTCTTCTCTTCTTTTATGCGAAATCTAGATATTTTTTCCTCCCCATTCCCCCAAAAGCAAAACGAGAGAGTTTGCACGGGATTCTCGTTGCAATCTGTTAATTGCGATTCACGGATGGGCAATTGAATTACTCCCACTTTGTTCTCCGATGTTTCGTTGGTCTTTCTTGTCCCCACTCGTTTTCTGCCGTTTCTCTCCTTTCCAAAGAAACTGTTTTCGACAGTGTTTTTGGACAGTGTTTCTTCAAGACTATTATGGATATGGATGGATAGGATACGAAACTCGTGTTGACGCAACGAGTTCAATGATGAAATAGATTTTTCAGAGTTACGATTCTGAAAAATTTCGATTCTTCTTGCCTTCAAAAATAAAATAAATTAGACGAAAGATCGAAAATTCGAGACAGATGATTAACTGAATATTATTTACTTACAACTCGAAACAGCAGAGTTAATAATCCGTACACTCGAGAAAGTACGAAGAAACGTTGCTGAATCGCAAAGTTCAACCCTTAATTGCCAACAAACGTTTAATCGATTCTCTATATTTACCAACGTCAAGTTGTAATGCAACAACGATTAATCGAACGAAAAATGTCTCGTATATACACACGATCGAATGAAGATATTCACAGAGTCTATCTTTGTTTTAAGAAAAATCGAAATCTTCGAACGATCTTTCAGATCGAAATCGCGATCGACAGGGATCGACGACACAACTTTTCGACGCGAAGATCATTGGCGCAAGCAAGATGATGGCCCGTAATAAATCCCGAGCTCAACAAATCGGAGCTTTAAGCTTTCTTTGTCGCGCTTCCACGGGTCTCCCGATTTCGAAGATATTCCCCTCCTCCTCTCGATAAGAGGATTCCCTTCTTCCTTCGATACGTCGATTTCCTCCCCTCGCTCGTAATATACAAACACGGTGTATATACGGATTATCGAAATTTCTTTCCATCCATTCCTTCTGTTCGTGGAAATGAATGATACATCAGATCGATCGAATTCCAAACGAATTTCGAAGAATAAAACATCCCTGCTATTAACGAATATTCCTTTTCGAAAGGGAAGAATTTTTCCTCCAATTTTATCGAAATAATTTTATTTCGAGGGAGAGATTCGTGAAATGTTTATAAACAGGGGAAAAAAAAGAAGTAAAAAGGAGATCGGAGAAGAAACAAAAAAGGAAGGGAAGAAAGATTAATATCGAAAATAAAAATAAAAATTAAAAAAGGGGCGGGGAAAAAAGGATTTAAAAAAAAAGGGGGGGAAGGGGGACGACGAATTGTTGAATTACGAAACGAGCTCGATTGCTCGGCTCATTTGCAAAAAGGGAAAAAGAGAGAGAGAGAGAGAGGGAGAGAGAGAGAGAAAAAACGGGACGAACACGCGCTCCTCTCCTCCTTCTCTTCTTCCAACGCTCGCTTTTATTAAATAGCCGACAATTGCTACGTCGGCTGGTTCCGTTCGCGAACAGCCGCTTAAACGTTCGCGCGATAATGAGAATAACGATATAAAAATTCGATTGCCAACAATGAGCGCAACTTTCTCAATTACCATGCGCCACCGAGGACGCTAACAATAAGCCAGACCGGGCTGGGGAGGGGGGAGGGGGTTATTATTTTTCCTCCTCGTCCACCCCATATTTCCCCTCCTCCTCCCTCTCTCTCTCTCTCTCTCTCTCCCTCCTCCTCCCTCGCAAGCCTCTGATCCTGACGCTAATTTGTACGCATTCATTCGAGCTATTGGTTGAAAAATAAAATAAACGTGAAAGAGGGAATCCAAAGAGGGAGGGAGGGAGGGAGGGGGGAGGGTTGGACGATTCGCATCTATATTTGGAAAATGTATCTCTACAGGGTGTTAAATATATTCGTGGGATATTTTTTTTTCAAGAAATATCGATCCTCCAGATAAAACAAGTTGGCAAAATGGAAAGATTAGAGACGAGAAGGGATATGATTTTTTTTTTTTTTTTTTTTTTTTTTGTTGCTGTAAATTTAACCCTCTATTGTATGAATTTTTGACGAGTTGAAAAAAATATATATGCTAATTTACTCAAGAATGAGTGTGATTGTGGAGTTCTTATTTTTTAAAACATTAGGGTGTATCTCTAATACGTATTTTGCACCCATCCACTGTCTTTGAAATTTAAGTTCCCCAATTAGGAACGGAATGCATATAATAGAGAGGGTTAAATTGCTGACAATTGCTTCGATAAATAAATTTTTGAAGAATCAAGAATTTTTGATCGAATATATTAATCTTGAAGAGGAATTGTTCTCAAGTTCTTAAAGAATGTAGATTATATATAATAAGATATGTATACTTTTGATCTTAGATAAAAACATATTGAATCTCTTCGCGAAATTAATTGTATCTCCGTCAAGAATTTATTTCTATTATTTAAACTCGTGAAATTATAAAACAGAATTTTCTAACTTCTACTTCGAATCGATGAATCATCGTACAACGGTCCTTTTCGATTCCTTAATTAACCGCACATTTATTATTCATCAACGCTGAAAGCAACGTTAACATTAACCAGACGAACAGAAACGAATTCGCAACAAAAAAAATACCTTCGTAATAAAAAAAAAAAGAATCAAACGTTCGCAAGAAAAGATTCTTCACATTCTTCTATCCAACCCTCGTACATCCAAAATGGCCACCGAAACGGCCAAACATATCGCCATCCCTCCTCTCTGTATTATTAAACAGAGAGTGAGAAAATTTAAAATTCATTTTGTCCGTAGCGAAAAACTTGATCCCGCACACCCGACGGCCTTCAATTGAACGAAATAAAAAAAAAAGAGGGGAGAGAGAGAGAGAGAGAGACGAAAAAAGAGAGAATAAATTTCGTGTCGGCAGCGACGTGGCAAATCGTGTTCTAGCGGGCCACCGGCAAATATCCACCATTCGCCCGCAGCGAACTCCTTTCGCCCAATACCGTCGTTCCTCGTAAACTCGTCCTACCGCGTCCCGAAAACTCGTTTGAATCGATCCATTCGGAATTCCACGAACCGGGTACATCGTTCCCGTCCCTCGCGGCAGACCTTCTACTTTGATTGGCAATGTTTAGAAGATGGCGTCGAACGCGAATTTTAAGATCGTTCGAAGACTTCGGCCTGTGCTTACGACGTTGTAAAAATAATACGATATCTGCGAGGATTTTTTTTCTCTGCCATTTATGTATTTTTTTCTCTCTCTCTCTTTTTCTCTATATAATATTTGTTGAAAATATTTGAGAATTTTTTAAATTTATCTTGAACGATATATACTTTATATTTTGGAGTGGTCAAAAAAGATTTCGGATATTTCTTGATTTAAGTCCGGATTACAACTCTGGAGGAGAGATATTTCTGGATCAAGAAGGAAAATTCTATGAGACTCTTCTAGCTCCAGTTTCGAAATATCTCTTGGAATAGTTCAGAAGAAATTTGAAGAGTTGCGAAAAGATTCGAAAAGATCGAAAAAAGATTTTTTTTATTTGGTTCCAAACTCGAATCACATTCTTCTTTATACAAGAAGGGATACTTTCATCGAAAAATTAACTCAATTTTTAATCCTAACTCCGAAAATTTTACAATTCTTTTCAAACTCGTGACCTACAGATTCAAATTGTCAAATTCAAATTATCGAGAGATAAGAAAGAAAGAAGCTGCTTGCAAATAATATTTTACAACATTCACGATCGTAGCGATTGGTGCACGCTTAAGAGCGGGCAAAGATTCCTGGACGGAATTATCTGGTCGTTTCTCTCGTGAAGGGTCGCCACGCCAATGTTCCGACGATGCCACGCTTCGGCCATCACGGCGTCACACGAGGGATTCTTCTCTGGGCAGCGCCATAGATGATAATCGGGCAGTGGCGGCGGTGTTGCGCGGCGTGGCGAAACTCGTGCGAGTATCCAAGGTATATAGGTGGAAAAGCGAGGAACAACCAATCAGAGGGCAACCTCCCTGGGGACGCGACGTTGCCATGGTTGCGTTCGAACCCTCTTAGGCCGTCTGTGCCGGATCCCTCACGGCTTGCTCGGGATATGCCGCGTGCGGCGTGGCGTTTCGTAGCCGTGTGCCACGACCGAATCCGCCACGCCATGTCCTGGCCATACCACGCTTTCACTCACTCTCTCTCTCTCTCTCTCTCTCTCTCTTGCATCGTCCGTCACAATTGTCCTCGTTTCCTCGTCCAACGACGTTCGAGAATCATAGTCGTTGCTGGTGTATATATATATATATATATATATAGAGAGAGAGAGAGAGAGAGAATCGTACCTTTTTTTACCTCTTCTCGCAATCTTTCTCTTTCCTTCTGCTCCACCCCTTCTTCTCTACTTTTCTACCTTTTCCTTTTTTACCCCCTTCACTCTCTCACTCCCCTTTGTTCAATCCAAGGGAGGAGGTTCGAGAGAAGAAGAAGAATCATTCCTCCTTCACTCTTTTCCTCCCTTCCTTTATCCTTCTTCTCCTATCCATCTTCCCTACATCTCTCTTACCCTGTCTGCCTATGCTTTCTCCGTTTCTCTCCCTCTCCCTCTCTCTCTCTTTTCCTCCGCTCCACCTTCCTCCCTCCCTCCCTCCCTCCCTCCCTCTTTATCCACCTCTCTCATTCTCTCCAAGGCTCTCTGCCTTTGCCTCTCGCACCGGCACTCCCGGTTTCCTGCACTTAGCAAGATCAATACCAGCCAACGAGGCTTGAAAACATGCGTCAACATGGTCTTGCACTGTTTGTACGTCCACATAACGCTCAGCGCCCGGTTACTACCACCGACGCGAAAGCCCGCCGGCCACTTCACCACCCCCTATCGTCGGGGCCAGGTGAGGGAGAGGCCGAGCGGATAGCAAGAGGGTCGAACACAGCGGCACGGCGCGGCCAAACAATGTTCGATAAGGCTGCGTACATATTAGCTCGTATAACCGTGCGTCACCCCATGGCTCGAGCAACGATGTTATATTAATTAATTACGATACACCCTCTCCCTCTCACACGCTATTTCCTCCTCTTCGTACTCTTTGTACGATCTATACTCGCGTAGAGATACGTTACACTCCCGAAATGCGATGAGAAATTACGAATTCTTCTTGTTTTGGAAAAAGAAGTTCGTTCAAACAACAAAACTGAGATTTCTCGTTTTGTATACGAGAAGCAAATAATCACTGTGTATTTTATTAAAAATGTTTGAATTTACGTTTTTAATTGTCTTGGAGCGATCGATCAAGGAATCAACAAAATTCCAGAAAAGAGTCTAAGAGACCCTTCCCGTGAAATTTTTTCAAAAAAAATCTACAATACATGCATTAGAGAGTAACGAGAGAGAAGAGGGTCCGAATGGTGGCGAAGGCACGCGTTAAAAAAAAAATGGCATGACGGTGTATAAAAGAGGCTTGCATAAAGACGAGAAATCCCCCCCGGTTGGTCTCGCAGATTCGTCTTTCGAGGTGTTTAACGTCCCCGTGGTCACGCGTTTCAAAGCGTTTAATGAAAGGGCGTCGTTGCACTTAACAGCCGCCCTTCTCTCCTAAGGCCGGGAGAAGACGTGTCGTGGGAGTGGAAGAAGAAGAGGAAGAAGAGGAAGAAGAGGAAGGACTTACGCGGAAGACACGAGTAAACGAGAGGAGGGAGGAGGAGGAGGAACGTGTGGAACGAGGAGAGAAGGAACATAGAAAGAGAGAGAGGGAGAGAGAAAAAAGAAGGAAAGAGGGGAAAGAGGAAGGGAGAAAAAGGCGGAGCGAACGAGAAAGAGGAAGCACACGCCGCATTCGCACATTCACACTCACCTGGATACGTGCCTCAGGCAATCCAATCTTCTCGGCGAGACGCTCCCGTGCAAACACGTCCGGGTAATGTGTCCGCTCGAATTCTAAAACGAAACCAGTTTGCAACAAGTGCTCGTTATTAAACGTGGATAGCTCGCGTGTTTTCGCGCTACTATACTATAAGTAATATACACGTACACATACACATGCACGCATGGTACGTGTACGTATATTTGTTTTTAACTCGTGCGTAAGCGTGTACGTGGTACAATTTTATATTAATCGCGCATAATTTCGATTCACCGCGAGACAAGATTAAAAGGATAATTATCGAACGATACTCGAACACGCAGCGCCGACTTGAATGGCCGCGGATCCAATTAAAGCAGTGGTGCTGCTCCTGCTGAGCGAGAGAAGGCCGATATATATATATATATATAGATATATATAGATATATATATTTGAGGAAAGCAGTAATTTACCTCGACCGTCTCTGAATATGCATGTCGCGAAACGGAATATACGTATACACAGGATCCATGACACGATCGTTCGACGTTTATATCGTTATTACCGGCTGAACGAAAATGGAGCTTTCTGTTCAGTAGGGGGCATAGGTGTTCGTTACGCGGAAATGTGAAATTGAAGCTACCTATGGTACTTTTCCCTCTTTTCTCTTTTTTTTTTTTTTTATTGTTTTCCTCTTTTCAACGGTAGTAATTGTAGGTAGGGATTTTTGTAGGATGATTAAAAGAGGGAAAAGGGGATGTAGGACTGCTGCTTCCAACCCCTTAACGCCCGTGCTTATGTTCGATATAGTTTCAATTATGAATTCGTATCCCCTTGCACCGTTACGAGAGGATTTAATAATTTACATTCGGTTGCGGAAGTAACTCATTTATTTTTGAGAATCTTGTTTAGAACGATGAGTCGGTCGTCTTCTATTATTAATACGATGAATATTATACGTTGGTTCATCTTTTTTTTAAATTAATGACGCGGTGGCGGTTTCATTTTCAATGAAAATTTCTCTCGAGCTCTGTTGAATATTCTTCTACTATTATTACAGATTATATTTTCGTTCGAATTTTAAAAATACTTGAAATTGTTGAGAAAGAAATATTAAGGATATTTCTTTTTTTTTTTTTTTTTTTAATCGATAAATTAGCAAAAGACTGTCTAAAACTAACCTTTCTCGAGGCTGTCGATCTGTTCGTTGGAAAAGGACGTTCGATTGCGCTGCAACTTCCGTTTTAACCTCAGCCGTACCTGCGAATCCTCGTCGCCGGACGAGTTGTGCTCCGAATTGCCATCCGACGTAGCCTCCTGCTGATGCGACAACAGTGAGCCCGTGTCTGAAAAACAAACGTTTCCCCCGTTTCTTTATCTCCTTATTTTGAAAAAACCATTTCTATAAAAAATTCTCGAAAGAAAAAATCAACCATCTCCTCCTCCTCCTCCTCCTCCTTCATTCTCCTATTTCTCGGCTAATTTGCCGATAGTCCGCGCGACGACGACTACGACGACGACGAAGAAAATTCGGCCGAAGGAGGGGAGAAGGGGGAGAGAAAAGAGGGGCACGGCGGCATTCGAACTTTCCACCAGTTTGCCTCAAGAAGAGCGATCCAATTAAGGATCGCCCCGTCCCGGTATCGTTCCAGCGATTTCGCGACGAACGACGCGGACTAACGTTCTCGGTGTTCCTAGAAACAGCTGGTGTGAGAGAGAGAGAGAGAGAGAGAGGAGAAAGGGAGGGCCAAGATTAAGACGGAAAACGACACACAGAGGTGTGTCCTCGCCAGTGTCTGTACCAGTGATGGTCGTGGTGGTGGTCGTCGTCGTCGTCGTCATCGTCGTCGACGTTGACGGCTCCCGGTGAGCCGCGATTACTTTCCGCCTCCGCGCACCGAACCCTCTTTCCATCCCTCTCCTCGATACCTTCCTGCCATTTCCTCCCCCTCCCCCTGTCCATCCCTTCGTCCCTACCTATATACTCGCCCTTACACCACACACTTATATAATATATATGTATGTACGTATACGTATCTCTCTACATGTATACCTATGTATATATATATATATATATATATATATATCGTCCGCTCGTCAGCTGCTCGCTTTCTCGTTCGCTCATCTCTCGCGCATCGCGCACCACCCACCCTTTCTCCACCGCCTTCTCTCTGCCACGACCCTCTACTACGAAATCTCTCGCCAACTTCCCTCTCCACCGCCACCTCGCCACCCTCTGGCCCTCTCTCGCGATCCGAAATACCGCCATCCTCAAACGTGTATGTGTGTGTATGTGTGTATGTGTGTGTGTGTATGTGTGTATGTGTGTGTGTATACCGATGTGGCCCCCCTCTTCATCCCTCGCGCCAAGTGAAATCATCGTCTGTACGCTTTTATATGGGATATTTTCTACTTATTTGAGTAGAAGGGTGCGAATCTGTTTTCGAGAGTGAAACTGTGTAGTGCGTTCGAGAATTTTTTTTTTTTGAGAATATAGGTGTTATTGTTATTAGAGCGATTGAGGATATGGGGAAATTTACAAGGGTTATAGAAATTCAAGGGTTTTTGTAGTAATTGGTTTTTAATTTTCTGGAATGCAGAGTGAAGTTTCTTGGAATATTACATCGGAATTCTTGGAAAGTATTTTCGCGAATGGAAGAATGTTGAAGAGGGGATATTCGAAGAGGAAATTAATTACTTTACTTTCACGCATTTTTTACAATTCTATCGTAAACAATCCTACCTCTTCTACCGTAAATTTCTGAATATATATACATATTATAACTTCAAAATACCAATATTCATAAACTTGGATATTCGTTTAGCCCATCGAATTAGCAACAATTCCCCTAATCTGCTTATCTCGAATTCGCGGTCACATTCAGAAGCATGATCCGTGGAGCGATTCCGGCCACGATCGCGGAGAGGACCGCAGCAGCCACCGATTGGCCTTGATCCTATTAGAAGAGAGAGACGCCATTTTTCGACACCAAAACTTCTTTTCTTCTTTTCTTGTGGAACGCGTACAACACCCTTCCACGGTGAAAATACCGCACAATGCGCCAAGGAAGGCACGTAATAGCGGGGCGAGAGAGGGTGTTGCGCGTACACGAGCAGATTATAATACGTGGAGGGTGCTCTCCCTTGACTTTGAACCTCGCCTCGAGACCATTGTCGAGATCCGTCACCGCACGGCAAGAAGAAGTGGATCGAGCATTGAGAGGATTCCTATGCCGTTTGTCCGATTCTCTATACCTTCCCTTCGACGGCGTGAAAAAGAAAGGTGAAAAGAACCCCCACAAGCATTGTGCTCGATCAACGGTAACAATTTCGTTTACGTACGGAGCTGTTGAAAAGTGGTATCGAAACGAGGTGAAAATTTTTCCTTGTTGATTTTTTATCGCGGATATCGAGGTCTAATCGATAGATAAATATGTCCTTTTCTTTTTTTTTTTATGTTACATGGAACGATCGTACGAATCTTTTAAAAAGAGATAAAGAAGTCACGAAAGATTCATTCGTGGTAATTTTAAACGTATTGCTATATATCCGATCTTTCTCAAAAATCCCTTCAAAATCGTTCAAAATCGAAAAACAATAAGAATTCACAAATTCTTGCACAAAATCATAAATCATACATCTCGTATAATACATCTCGTAAAATAACATCACGTTACTCCTCGATTTAAAGTTTATCTAAAAAAAATGATTCGGAATAATATTAAAAAATTGTCGTTCGCTTAAGGAAAAAAAGAAAGAAGAAAAAAAAAAAAAGCACCCCCTCCAAATAATCAGAATCGCGAACAATAAAGGATCACCATTAACGAAGTGGAGGAACAAGAGATTGTTCCGACGAGAAAACACGGTTGCGCGTCGCGCTTAGCAATTAACGTATAATTGGGACTCACCGCTTCGTTTGAGCAGGGAATCGTCGCGGCCGTGAAGCTGGCTGCCGGGTAGAAGCGACTGGCCAGAGCCCGGGGTCGCCGCCGTCGGGATTCCCGTGGCCAAGGGATGATGAGAGGGCGTAGCGGAATACCAAGCCGGTGGCCAACCTGCAGCCTGCCCATTGAACATCCGAAGCTTATCGTACACGCTCTCGGCACCCTGATGCGCTTGCACTGCCGCCGCCTGTTGCTCCTTCTGCGAGGCGAGGTTCCTCAGCACCCTGTTGATGGACGACACCTGCCGAAATACCAATTAATCCATATGCGAATTACATTTAATGAACGATCAAATATAGTATCGTATGGAAGAGAGAAGAAGAACAACGTGTATTTTTCTCTTACGTAATAACGCGTTTCTAAAATGGCGTTGAAAAGAGTTTATGTTTTTTAAGTTAGATAGTAGCTTTTATAGTCTTTAGTTGATTCTTCGCATATGTATACACTGTTTTACCAGTCGAGTATTTGAGAAAAATTCTTTTCTCGAATATTGATGAAATAAGAGTGAAAAAAAGATTGATGATGATTAATTATGTTCGATATATTGATGAGAGGAGGATTGTTCGAAAATACGGCAGTCAGGGGTTGGAAAAAAAAGTTTGTCCATTGTAAGTTGCATGCTATCGTTTTGGAACGGTGATTGGTTTTTCGTTTACCGAACGGCGACACCATCGTTTTCAGGAAAGTATCGTAGATTGATTTAGCGGATTGTTTGACAAGTATCAAATCGTTAGTGGAATAGTAACCGCAGAATGGTTGTGATTGAAAGGAGTTTGTTTGTTGTAAGTTGGTTCATCTACCGATTGGTTTTTTGATTTATCGAGCAGATTTTTAGAAAACTGTAGAACAGAAGATTGGTATCGAAAATCGATTCGATCGTAACTCTTTCTCTCTCTCTTTCCCGCGACGAAATCCACAATCCACGACGAGCATTGCACGAGTCTTACACGTTCGTTCGCACGAAAGGAAACAACACCATATCATCGTTTAATCGATTATCGTGAAAATTTCCAGGGCTCAATTGACGCTCGACGAGGGGAGAAAAAACGTGGTCAATCGTGAAAGATCGCTCTCAAGAAACAAAGAGGAAGGGACAAAAGAGAGGAGAAAAAAAACTTTTTTTCCAAAGTTTCATCCTCTTCTTTCCTCGCGACAATCATTTCCATAGTTACATAGTCGGTTGTCTCTCGTTCATCACTCCCTCCCATCTCTCTCTCTCTCTCTTCCGTTCTCTTTGCCGACCTTCACGTTGAGGGAGAGACTAACAGATGAAAGGACACCGCCATCCAATTATTATTACATAAAACGGTTTCCATGGCTCTTCGCTCCCCTAACCAACGACGGTAGAGCGCGGTCTTCTTCACCTTGTACCGAACCACTGGCCAACTCTAAAGTTATAACGAGCCACGGGGGCGAGCCTTGTGCTCTCGACTCTCGCGCATAATAGTCTCGCTCTCGCTGTTCTACGCGCGCTCAACCGCCCCCCCCCTCCTCCTCCTCTACATCCCCCTTCTTCATCCGCCTCCCCCCCAAAACATCGACTCGTCGACGGTGCAGCAAGCAACGGCAGCAAGTCGTACCGTACATAGCCCGTAACTCTCCTCTCTGTGCATTCACTCCCATGGATCTCTCTCTCTCTCTCTCTCTCTCTCTCTCTCTCTCTCTCTCTCTCTGGACGTGGATGTGGAGGATATCGAGCGAAGCTTCTTAATTACTGGGCTTTCGTTGAAAGGTTCGATGAGAGAAGAGGGGGGGAGAGAGAGAGAGAAAGAGAGATCCTTTCCTCGAGTTTAAGACCTCGCACGAAATAATGGGCGTGTGTATGCGGTCGGGTGCCAACAACCGACGTTGTTGTACACTCGAGTACGTACGGGTCAAGAACGTGTATGCGCGAGAGGGGAGGGGTTCGCGCGGTTATTACGTCGAATAAAAGCCGATAAATTCAATCGTGTGCTTTTTGTGCGCGCCGCCTCGACGAGGGATCGATCTCGAGCGTCGTCGAGCCTCTCGTCCTCGAGTTTTTAACTTTAAGCTTTGTAATAAGCGAAACACGTTTAACGCGCGGTACACGGATTCACGCCAATCCCGAAGCGGTGAATGATTAACGCAGGAAAAAATTAATCGATTGAAAATCCTCAGAGAGGATAATTCGTGGATCTAAGATTGCTTCTTTAATTAATTACAATCTTTTAAACAAGGGGAAACGAGTCAAACAAGCGTATAAAATCCTCCTCCAAACCAGATAAAATACCACAGAATTTCTCTTTTCCCCTACATAACCCCCTAACTCTCACGGACGCGTATATACGTGACGCGATATCCGAGAGTTTCTTAGGAAATTGCGCAAACCCATCGAACAGATCCAAACAAACGAAACTCGACGTAATACGAGGCAAGGAGAGCCCCCGTCCGCTTGTTCCTTAACCGGAATCAATCCAACAGGGAGGGGGTGGTACGTTACCTCGAAGGGAGACGACGATATCGTGGAAAGTTGGTATCGCAAGATTCGTCTCAATCCTGCGGAATAATGGCCACGAGAGAAAGAGAGAGAGAGAGAGAGCGCATGGAAAGGACGTTTTCCAGACTAACTGCATACAGCATCGAGAGACAGAGAGAGAAAGAGAGAGTTGCACAGGCAGAGTTCCAGAGGCAAGCAAGCAAGCAAGCAAGCAAGCAAGCCTAGGCTTTCCATCATCAAACCAAGCAACCTGGCTGTTCTACGCTTCGCTCCACTCGGCTCTCGCCGCACAACAGCCGCAGCACCGATGCAGACCATTACACGCGCGACCGGACACGAATAATTGTGCAACACGCTTAACTGATCCCATTCACCCTGATTCTACCCGCTTCCATCCGCTCGTCGGCGACTAACCCCGTCGCACCCCATTGCCGCGGACGATATGTACCCACCGCAACAACCGGCGCTCCACCACCACCACCATCATCGTCGTCATTGCTATCATTACCGTTAACGTCGCGCGAGACAATCGCCGTCGTCGTCATCCGTGCAATCCCTCCTTTCCCCTCCCCGATCGAAGATTCCTCGAAACGATTCGTTGATACGTTTGTAACCGAGGAGGAGGATTCTATTGGACGGAATTTGGAATTGATTGGAAAGCGAATTATTGTTTATTAAAAATATGGTACGTGTGATAAATGCGGAGTTCTAGGAGAAATTCACTCTCCACTGATATATATATATATATATATATAATTCGTGACACAATCTCGTTAGAGCGAGATTTTCATCGAAGTTGTCGAAAGAGCGTAGAGAAATCAAGACCTCTCTCTGCGCCTAGAGAAAAATTACACAGCCTCTGTGATCATTATAACGATCATTCGACGATTTAAAAGCTGCCGATCGAACACGGAGTTTCTTCTTTCCGAACCGGATAAGCATCGACGGTAAAGAGCGGATACTCTCTCTCTCTCTCTTTCCGTATGCTCGCCGATTGATCACCACCCCTCCCCTGTGAGCGAACGAGGGATTCGTTCCCAGAGAATCGGCAAAAGCGAGTGGTTCCTCCTTCTTCACAAGCCGACGGATAACGACTCGTACGCGTGTCATCCCCTTCGGTATTCCTGACAGCCACCAGGCCGGAATGGCCTGGGAGGGATGGTTGGAAAGGGAGCTGCTACGCTTTCTTCTTCTCGCGAAGAAAAGGCCTTTACACGCGACAGACACTCTCTCTCTCTCTCTCTCTCTCTCTCTCTCTCTCTCTCTCTCTCTCTCCTCGACGGATCGAAGGGATGACGAGCGAGAGGGGAGGAGGGGTGACGAGCCAGAGGAGGGATGATGTTGTGGATTGGAGGAATATCGATGCTCGCGAGGAAAGGATGTTTGGAGGTATTCCTCGATGGGGAGCGGAACCCAAGGGGTGGACAATACCGAGGCCCGCGTAATGGACCGATTACCTATCCCACCCGATCGTATTGACGAGACTTTGATTAGGGTCGAGTGGCCAGATCCGACGGCTAAGTACCAGGGGTGCGCACCGCCCTGATAAACCGCCGCCGCTGCACAAAGCGACTCCTCTAGGCGAACGAGCATCCCGACGATTGGATGGAGCGCGAATTCCAGTCGTTGCGCTTTTCTCCTCTGTCTCTGGAATCGGCAGAATCGATACCTACCTCTGGGGTCATTTGCTAATTGCACGCTTGCTGGACGAGAGTTGGTTTCGAAGTGCGATGGAAAAGGGAACATTCCCTCGTTGGGATGTTCGAGCTGTTCGTGGACGTCGGATGATGATCGATTGGTGATATTTGATGAGATTTGGAGATATTGGGAAGGTACTCACGCTCGGTATGTTGTCGTTGTTGCAAACACCCTCTTGCAAAAGTCGATCGCGAATCTCCCAAGCGAAAATCGATGGACACTCCCGTTTATAGTCGGCGATTTTGTTCACTACCGGCGTGGTCGCCACGCGTGGTTTGCTACCGCCAATTGCACGTGGTTTAATTGAACCGGTCTCGTAGTACCTGGAAAAATAAATCAATTTCTTCGTTAGCGGAGAGATTGAAACAGTTGCACGCCAATTGGAACTATAGCTATACAACGGAATGAATAAATATTTTTTTCATATCTCAATCAAAATTAATACCAATAAAAAAAAAGTAATAACGTGGAATCGTGGATCGATTAACACGAGATAAATTAAATTGATAAATTGTGCAAAAATGATATCCTTGACTAACCTCGTGTGTCAAATCATCTTTTATTTACAATCTTTCATTTATTCGAAACATAAAAACGTAAAGCAAAAGTATGCGAAGAAGCGATGATGAAATTTGAACGTGATCTCGTGTTTAAATCGCACTGACCTGCCTAGTATCTTGGAGACGCAACCATTGCTGACTTGCAGTATGCGCGAGATGTCGCAGGGTCTAGCACCACTGTGGGCCAGTTCAACGATCTTCTGCCTTGTAGAGTCTGGTAATGGTCGGCCATTGACGTAAACACCGCCAAGCTGGTTAACCCCGCTGTGTCCTGCAGCCGAGCACCCAAATATTGAGTTCTGTCCGACCATAGAACCCCCGCCAATACCCGCACCACCCCCGTGCATCAAGTCCTCCTCTGTGAACCAAAATCGCGCACCAACGTGTATTCTGTCACTTAGCCAGGGTGTCTGGTTGAATAAACACACCGGCCCATATGTGTCCACTTGTGTACGCGTGGCCCACGTTCTTATTAGCCTGATTGCACCGCATGCGTCGTCATCATCGCCGTGGACACACATAGGTGGTGGTGACGAACCGCGTGCTATCGATAATGGCCACCGTTCTCGATTTGCCATACGCTGTGTACCAAACGTGGGGCCTGTCGTCGACTTCACCTATCAAAGGTGGGAAATTCGATTTGCCGACCAACGATTAACCCCTTCAACGCGAAATATCGAAATATCGACGAAACATCCTGTTGAAGAATCATTTTTCATCGAAGATATTATAATAATTATGAAATGGAATATTTTTTATAAAACTTTGAAAATAGAATACTATACTTTTCCTCGTTTATTTTAAATAATAATGGAAGGAATTAATTTTTCACGCGTATTAAAATTACACATACGAAATATAACATGTAGGAGTGAATAATTATTTGTCAAATTAATTTTATAATTGATCGAACTTATCGTTTTTTAGATTTTGAATTTATTTAACAATGGAGAATGGTGTTTAAAAAGAGATAAAAATATATCTGAATTGTGGAAAGATAGAAATGTTTATATATATATATATTTTTTTTTTCTTTTTTTTTTTACATCTTTTACAATAATAATGTTTCTAGAATAGAATCATAACGTTTGAAATTGTCTGAAAGACAAGCTTGGATCGCAAAAGTTAATCCTCGTGTACCATTCTGTAATAATATATATCATGATCGTTGAAATGGAATGGAAATCCAAAATAACGTAGTATCGAAGCTGCTGTAAATCGTGACAATTTTGAATTTCCAGAATAAACAATTGGATGTGATAAACACAAATACAACGACTTTTAATAATTACAATATACATAATAACACGAGTCAAAAGGTAGACAATGAATATTTAAAAAAAAAAAACGCCATTGTTAATTTCGTTACGCGACACAGATGGCACGATTGTAACAGTCTACAATTGCGGAGGTACAATTCCAAACACTAAAGAGTACACTGGACAATATTTGCGTTGGTTAATCGATGAAAATACCCGAAACCACAATTAACTCGTTTTTCGACGACACACGTTCGTAAAAATCAATAAACTTTTGTTAAATTTAACGAGATAAACGACTGCAAATAATCAAGCTATTCGTCCACGGTTTATCAAAATGTATTTTCAGAAATAAAACAGTGAAAACGAGTTTAATAAAAAATAAAATAAAAAGTAATGAAAAAAAACAGAGAGAAATATCTTTCATTCTCATTGTATGTAGCGAGTAGCGACGATTCACGTGAAATCATCGAAGACTACATGCTACACTATGCTACAAGGCATTTATTAAAGAATTCACTTTTATCGAGTATAAAGAAATACAAAGTAAGGTGGATGTGGACAAAATGAGCCCTTTGCTCTTTTGTCGCCGATCTTTCTCTGAATTAAGTGCTAACGCCGACAGCGTGCAAAGAATAAGAACGAAGTGAACCCCGTAGCTGTACGTACTTACACGGGGTACACACGGCTAGGCGCAGGGACCGCGGCAAGGACTACCATTCCCGGCATTGCTGCTCGCGCTAAATGCATCTTGCAATTAACGAATTTAATTAATCTACCGCTTTTGCGGCATGCAAAACGACAAGAAATAGTTGAAACGCAATTTGAATGGGTCTGCTCGTGGTGCTGCAGCACCGTATGAAACCACTTTGTGTGTAACGTCGGAGCACACCATAGCGCTTTCATCAGACTTTAGCCGGCGTCAGGAAAGGGCCGAAATTCCACACGTTTCGTGCTTATTTCACGCTTAAAGTAGGCATGTTTCCGCTCTGCAACTATCTGTCACTTTTCCTTGTCTAGAATGCACAACTACTTCGCGATTGTGTCGACGCGAGACACAATCGAGAATTCTCACAATGTGTATTCTCTTTTCTTTTTTTTTTTTTTTTATTTCTATTTCAATTGATATCTTAGTGAAAAAAAAAATAAGATAAGAATATTATTTGTAGGTTTATTTTCGAGGTTTATATCACAAGTATTATTTTGTGTTTGGTGTTAAAAAAAAAGAAGACAATAAAATTTTGAATAAACGAAATTTTGAAAGATTTCTAAATTTTTTTTTATCGATATACAGTATATAATTTTCTATAGTATACACATATTTGTATATTTTCTCAAATATGTTTCGAATATTTTTATAATAAACTACATATTATTTTATATTATTAATTTTTATCTAAATCATATTATCGATCACCAATTATTAATTTACGATCAATCATTATTGTCTTCACTTATGATATATTATACTTATTAAACTATTAAATATTTTTAAATTAGTCAAAACTGCTAATCAAATTATTCAAACAAATAATACAATATTTTTATATTGGACATAACATTTAAAAATGCGACTTGCTAATAGGTAAGGTAAGCAATTATATAAATTTACAAGATAAGGTCTCTAATTTTTATATTATTATCGTGAATTCCTATCTAAATATACGGTCATTAAAGAACAAGGTAAACGAGAATTTTGCATAAGATATTAAACAGATACCGCAAGTAACGAGCACTTTTATACTTTGATGACAGAACAGAAAATCAAGACAGTCTGTCGAACGAAACAGCGTAAAGTCTATTCGATTATGCATGCTGCGTAAAAGAGATGATAACGTTAAGACATTTTCCTTGATCCGATTAAAATGGCGAATATCCTTCGAAAATCCAACGTATGAATATTCATTCGATGCCTATTCAAATAACCACATATGTAAATGTGGCCAAGTATAAACGCACATTTTTGATGCCTGCAATGCATTATGGGAATAGCACATCTTTCGAGATAACACTGGAATTTGCACATTCATGTGTATTACTACTATCTAATATTTATACACAGTACTTCTTTCATTCAAAAGAAGATTATATCTTTCGTGATGAACACATTTTGCTTTATACCAACAAGATATCACTGTTAGATACACGATCAGTAATGTGCATCAAACTATGCTTAACATTCGTGATAAATTATTTAATCAAGAGCATAAGAAATGCTTTTCAAGCCCTTATTTATATTGATCAATCTCGAATACAACTATGTAATTATTTATACGGATTCGAATGATTTCACATATTGAAAATCACGATCCAAGAAATCAAGCAAAAATCAGAATGCCCTCAATCAGATCCCCTCGCGGAGGCTGTTTTCCTTTAAAACTCGTTCGTCGTAAAAATAAACTATTGTTAAAGGTATCGAAATCCCGGCGTTGCGAGAAAACCCTGTCGTCGTCTCCGCTTTGTGGGACGATGCAAACCCGTCACTGGTTTTTCACCAGTTTTAATTCATTACAAAGAGGGTGTGACTCGGACATATACATAGGTATACACGGAGGAGGAGAGATCCCGGCTGGACGACGAATACACAAAGTAAAATCCTTTCTCTCTCCCTCTTCCTCTCCCTACTGATCGTCTACTATCCCTTCCACTCTATTCCTCTCTCTCGTCTCGCACGAGGAGAGCGAATCGTCCGTAGCGCTCAGCACCGACGACCCGTGCACACGCCGTCCGCACACATTCTTTATATATAATTTCGCGTTAATCTACGCGACGACCAGCGCAAAAGCGAGTCATGCCGCAAAGTGAGGCAAAAAGGTTCCACTTGGCTGAGCGTGAAACGGGACACAGATTAAATCCCATCCTGCCGGCGCACGACGTCGCGGCACCCTTCCTCTCCGTCCAACTTCCCTCCCCGCTACGCCATCGGCCCCCTCTTATGCCACCCTACCTTCCATCACACTCCCTCACAGTGCGATCCCCTACCCCTCTTCTACCTTCACCGTGGCCGACCTCCCTCGCCAAACAACCTCTGAACCTACCGTTCCTAACGCTACCGCCCTAGACAAGAGGGGTAGGGGCAGTGGGAAAATTCTGCCATTTCGTTCTCTTTAAGCGCAGAAATACTTGTCTGCTGTATAAATACATTCTTCGTGCCGATTAATACCATTTTCACTTGTTTTGCGCTTTGTGGTAACTTTTCGTTTGTTTCTAGTTTAACACGGTGTGTAAATAGTATTAAACTACTACCAGAAATATATTGAGTATATATTGGAAAGAACTGAATTCATGATATAGACAAACGATACATGATATCATTGCAAATCTGTACCGATGACGCTATATGATTTGCAGATTTATAGATAGATATTTTCAATGATGTACATTCAAGATATTATCCTGATATTAGATGTTGACTAAATTGCGCAATAAAAGTAGCAACAGTATAGAAAATTATGTGAAAAATGATTTAAATTCAAAAAATACTTGCCTTAGATTATATAAGATGTACATTTCGTTTGCACGTGTTGATAGGTTAAGATGCACAATAAACGATAACTGATCATATGATAATGATATTATTTCTATACACTGTTTCTCAGTCATTCTCACTAAACTATTTTAGCAATGACGTATTCGTAACATTTATAAAATCTACATTTCGTTTACAATGTTCTTTATTTCCATTACACAATTTCTATTAACAATAAGTCGTGAAACACATGACATTAATAGTTACTCGTAAACCGTCGCGTCGGTAACTTTGCGCCGAAACATTTTCCCATTTAGCGACTAGCGCTACACGAAAGGTGGCGAATTAACGAATTTCCAACTGAAAAATGGCGGTGTTTATATACGTGCACTCGTAAATAATACAATATAGAACAGTATAAATGGTATGTTTCCCCAAGAGAAACAACAAAACGATCAGCAACGGCTGCTGGAAAGGAACGATTGATTGTTATCCGATAATAGAAACAAAACAGGCCAGCGAACCGGCTAATACGCCACTTCAATTCCCAACGATGACAGAAAGTTTACGTTAGAATGTTTGTTTAATGGAATGCAATAATATTACGCGGGTAATTAGCCAGTGCATTTT